TTTAAATTTAAATGTATAAAACGTATTTTCAATCCACTTTAATTTTGGATATTAAAACTAATTTGCTTAATCTTAGGAGGTGATTAATCGACAATCAAAGCAATGGGCGGGAAAATTATTGAAAGATTTTTTGTGGTGGTGACATATGGCATAGTGGTGGCTTAAAAAAAATGACATGTGGCAATTTAGAGAGTCTTTTATTATGGATAGATTGCTGTTTTATTGGAATGAAGTTGATTTCTTGGATACCATTTATATATGTGTTTAAATTTAAATGTATAAAACGTATTTTCAATCGACTTTAATTTTGGATATTAAAACTAATCTGCTTAATCTTAGGAGGTGATTAATCGACAATCAAAGCAATAGGCGGGAAAATTATTGAAAGATTTTTTGTGGTGGTGACATGTGGCATAGTGGTGGCTTAAAAAATAACATGTGGCAATTTAAAGAGTCTTTTATTATGGATAGATTTTGAAAATCAAAATCAATTATAATCTATACTAGGTTACAACCCGTGGAAACCACGGGTAAAAAGTTTAAAAACAAATTTATATTATTAATAAGAGTTAAGTTTGTTTAGCATTATTTGTATTGATTATTTAAAATTAATATTAATATAAATTTGTAAAAAAGTATATAAATTTGAATATATGTTAAAGAGAAACGCAATCAATCCATCTAAAGGTAAATATGAAGATAACTAAAATGCATCTTTCAATATGTGAATGATTTATGAAGTGTGAGGGCAAATCATTATTTTTTTATTTGAGGGAGCAATCAAGAAACACGATGTGGCATCTATTAAAGTCTGAAAATCAAATATCGAAACAAATTCAATATTATGGATTACAATGCTATATAAACAATAAAATATTAAAAAAATGTAATAAAAAAAAGAAAAAAACACAATTGTTTGAAGTTAATGGGTACGAAGCATTTATAAATTCCTAAAAACTTCCTTATACACAACATTTGAAGTTTTGTTTGTAAGTCTACCATCCTTATCTAAAATTAACAATTTTAATACTTCTCTACTTTGAACTCTAGATAAGGCAACATACAAACAACTGTCCATGTGAAAAAACAGGATCCTTGAGATACAGACCAACCTTTGATAACGACTGCCCTTGACTTTTATTAATTGTCATTGCAAAACATACAGCCAATGGAAATTGTCTTCTTTGAAATTTGAATGGAATTTTTTTTTCAGATGGACTTAAAGACATTCTTGGAATAAATGTTTGCTTTCCAATATTAGTTCCACATATGATAATTGCCTCAATAACACGTTTGCCCAGAGATTTCACTTATAGTGCCAGTAGTGTAAAATGTGTTACTTCGGTTATTTGAGATAAAAATAATTTATAAAATACAAACATTACGTATGTGCCAGTAGTGTAAAATGTGTTACTTCGGTTATTTGAGATAAAAGTAATTTCAAAATAAAATCCTTAAAATAGTGCTACAGAGGGTATAATGGTAATTAGAACAATCAATTTTTCCACATGCCTCTTCAACAATCATTTTCATCCAAAAATAAGTTTAGCAATATACCCCTCACACATTAAAATTGTATAAGTAATACGTAAGATAGTAAGTATATTATAAGTAATTTATAGTCTTCTTTTTAATGAAGATGTGTGAAATATACAATTGACAAGAAATATGCAACTTCGTAGGTTTTCAAAAAACCAAAAGTACAATGCATTAATTGGTAATTTAAAAACAGTTTAAAAAGACTTAGACAAAATATTACTGAATAAAGGATACACAGTAGAATGCTAAACTAAATAATATAATGAAGAACTGAAGATTAAGAAGATGGCCAACACGGATCAAGAATTTGACAAATTTTGACATTTTAGAATTATGATGTTGAGTTTATTTCAGAAAAATTTAGGTGATCAACTAAGTAAAAATGCAGTCTTTTTCATATATAAATTCGTAAAAATCCAGGCAGGGGTAGGGGCTTACATGTACAAAATTAAGAAGTAGAATTAAGAAGCAGAAACTGACCTTAGGATTGAAGTCTGTGATTGAATATCCAATAACTGAAGTGTCTATGATTCAGAACCTTGGAAACACGATGCTGTAAAGAAAGATTGATTATCATATGTTTCAAATATATATTGACAATAATCTGATCAAATCGACATGAAGGGTAAAAACGGTATTTTATTTTTGTAGAATACTGATCATGTACTTTGTAGGAAGATCACTGGTGTCATTGTTGGATTTAACTACCGAAGAACTGGAGACTAAGAAGATGGCGATTACGGGGTTTGGTTGGGATGTACAGCTCATCAATTTACTACAGAACATGGTGTAAAATAATGACAAAATCGCAAAAAATAGTAGTGAATGATATCTTAAGTAGTACTAAGTAAAAATGCAGTATTTTTCATATATAATTTCGTAAAAATCCAGGCAGGGGTAGGGGCTTACATATACGGAATTAAGAAGCAGAATTGAGAAGTAGAAACTGACGTAGGGATTGAAGTCTGTGATTGAATATCCGATAACTGAAGTGTCGATGATTCAGAACCTTGGAAAGACGATGCTGTAAAGAAAGATTGATTATCATATGTTTGATATGATCAAATCGACATAATAATCAAAATTAAATGTAATCGATATGATTGATATAGATACCATAATAAGATGCTCTTAATCGGGTATCTAATGAATTTTAGTTAATGTGTACAGCTGGTAGCAGAGATAAAAACTGAAACAAAACAGGGCGTTATATGGATTACATATTGGATTCAATATTCAATTTCAAATTTCCATATTCCATTTCGATTTTTACGTGAAACAAATAAAGGGTAAAAACGGAATTTTACATTTGTAGAATACTGATTATTTGCAGAATTTGCAGAATACTGATTTATTTTAAGTAATTTCGACTCATAATGCCTGAGTAGTAATATGTGTTTTAAACAGGTACAACTGTATCAAAAAGCCTAAGAGATTGTAGAGATTCATGGCATTACATCTTATTGGTATGTTATTTAATGGTAAGAACATTTTTATTCTTTTAGGCTGGATTTATTACATCACATGGAATCAGATGGCGAGGGCATTTTCGTCCTTTGCATATATAATTTTTTTGTCCTTTTTTGTTTTGTACTTTGTAGTACTTAAGAAACGAGAAGATATGATTAAGTTGTGAATGATCCGGATCCATATCAATGATCCGGATCCATAAGTTGTGAATCTAAAGTAAAAACGGATGTGTTATTCAGTTCAATACAGGATACAATCAATAAACACTTTTACTGGAATTTAAAGAATGGAAATTGTAAAGCTGAACAAAAGGATTGACAAAGGGCAAAATTGACATCTGATGCATTGTTTACTACTGTTACACATTCAATACACAGACATATCTCATCTCACAGCTTCATTACAATTTTCGTTTCATACATTACCTCAAATTATAGAAAAACATATTCCCAAGAATGCATGCACCGATTGCATACCCATAAAATATACCATTTTATTGAATTTATTCATATTTGATACATCTTTTTCACAGAGCAAATATACTTATAAAAACACAAAACAGAAAGACACATAAAAACACAAACTATATACCCGTGTTGTGAAAATTACCATTATGTCCCTGTACAGAAAATGAACATTATGTCCCCGAACTTGTTGTTCTAATTACCATTCTACCCTTTGTAACTGGAGAATGATTAATTAACAGCTTAATTGTTGATGAGGGGAAAATACGACATAAGTTGGTTGTAACATTAAATGCAATGATTGTTATTCAGTCTACTATAACTGTGATGATCAACTTAGTGGGTTGGTTCAAGACTTTGAGATAGAAAACAATTAAGAAACAGCTTCTGAATCAAAGATAAATAGAAACAACAACAACAAGGGAGCAACACTGGCAACAGCAAGGAAGCAACACTGGGAAACAGGGAATTAAAAAACCGTATCTTGTATTTAAAGATAAATAGCAACAGCAAAGGAGCAACACTGGCATTCACGTATTGATAAATACATATAGACATGAACAGTAACAGTTAAGCAGTCATACACACGCATACGCATTGGTAATTTAAGTAGCATCAGTTAAATTGTCACACACACGCATACACATTAAGTAGAAGAAATAATTTTCAATTATGATTAACACATACATTGAGAAGTAGGGGCTTACATATACACATTGAGAATCAAACATTCCAGTCAAAGTCCAATACACACAATAAACCTTAAATTCATAAAAATCTAGGCAGGGGTAGGGGTATATACGGTGATTGAATATCCGATAAATGAAGTGTTTATCCAAGGGATTAACCTAGCCATGTTCTGTCATTCTGTGGGAAACAGGAGCTTACATATACACATTGAGAAGCAGAAACTTACCGAAGGATAGAAGTTGCTGATTGAATATCCGATAACTGAAGTGTCGATGATGCTTAATTGTTGGAAAGACGATGCTATAAAGAATGATTCATATCGTATGTTTCAAGTATATATTGAGCATAATACAATCAAAATTGAAAGAAAGACAGAGCAGTTATGAGCATAATAAGATGATTGATATGGATACCATAATAAAATGCTCTTAATCGGGCATGTAACGAAATTGAGTTAATGTGTACAGCTGTTATGAGCTGTAAAAATTGAAAGAAAGACAGAGCGTTATATGGATTCCATATTGCATTCGATATCCATCCATATATTCCATATATTCCAATTTCAAAATTCAAAATTTCCATATTTCCATATTGATATTGATATTCCATATGTACTGCGACGTGAAATGAAGAAGGGGTAAAACTGAAATTTAACATTGGTTGAAATCTGAATTTTTGAAAGGACACGATACAAATGGTGTGTTTATTAGATAGTGATTTTGAAAATCAAAATCAATGTGGATTACTATTTGGATTTATTATCAGATCCGATCCGATAAGATGCATTCAAACCCGACTAATTAGATTATATATTTTACAACAAACCCCATAATGTTTGTTTTCTTACTTACGACCCCTCAAATTTCCATTTTCTTTCTTCTTCATCTCTGAAAACATTCAACTTGAATTCTTCTAGAGAGAGAAAGTAAAGAGAGAGAGAGAGAGAGATGAGCAGCACACAGTCGTTACACTCGCTAGCCTTCAGGGTGATGCGGTTATGTCGGCCGACGTTCCACATCGAAACCCCACTCCGATTCGACCTCTCTGATCTCATCGTCGGCGAGGATCTCTTGGACGATCCTTCCGCCGCACCTCACATTCGTCGTCTCCTCCAATCTCAATCCACAACCACCGACTCCTCCACCGATCTGACCTACAGTAATCGGTTCCTCCTCCGTGATGATCCCTCCGACGCCATGGGCCTCTCCGGTATGCTTGTTCTCCCTCAGGCATTCGGGTAAGAGTCACTTTTTAAACTCAATATTAAATAAACAGTCGTTACTGCTCTTTTATTTAAAATATATCTGCATAACTTTTCTTCATCTGGATGCAAAATTGATATGGATGTGATGCTAATATCACAACAGTTGTTCGCTTTTTTGATTGTTGATATAAGAAAGTTAATGCGGTTATACTTTCCCGGCACAAAAATCAGCTTATTTCTTAGCATTTGGCTCATGAAAAGTTTTAGTTTCATCTGAAAGCTGCACTCTTTGAAGACATGTTGATTCCTTGTACGTAATTATGACCAAAAAGGTCTGAATTAGGCGGGTGATTGGATAGTGTGATCATGTGCTAATGAATAATTAGAACAAGATAATAAACTGTAACAAAACCATGGTGCATCGGATAGTATTTGGCAGTGCATCAGCTCTAATAATTACTTTTGATGGTGTTGAGTGTTTGGCATATTGTGATTATTTAAAGAAGTAATTTGATTCTGGTCATTCGATAATCAGTTTTTCTGAAACTAGTATGAAACTGATAGTTTGACTCAAGAATCATATGTTTTGTGTTGCTTTTGGAGTTGCAAAATTAGTGTAGTGAACATCAAACTTTATAACAACCATTTTTTTTGGGATGGATGGAGTATAATTTTGTATACTTTTGATACATTTCAGTGACATTTGGCTTTTTGTGTTTGTATGCTTTGTTTTGTAGGGCAATATATCTTGGAGAAACGTTTTGTAGTTATATAAGCATCAACAACAGCTCTAGTTTTGAAGTGAGGGACATTATAATCAAGGTGATGTTTCTGCTTTAAACTCACTATTTTTGCTCTTTTATATATTTTGGTACAAAAAAGTTGAAGAAGCAAATCTTGAATTTGATTCACAATTCTTGAAATTTGTATATGCTTAAAACCAATGAAATGTATAAATGTAGCTATTCACATTCACAATCTTTTCTCCCACCCAAAAGGTAGACTCAATCTATCTTCTGAAAAAGACATGAATGCCCTTCTCATCCTAATAATAAAAATGTCCAGTTGTAAACTGTTTTTGTGTAACAAATGAATGTGATTTAAAAAAAAATATTGAAATTAATGATTTGAGTGACCACAGGCAGAAATACAAACAGAAAGGCAGAGGATACTGCTTTTGGATACAACAAAAACACCTGTAGAAACAATAAGAGCAGGAGGGCGTTATGATTTCATTGTTGAACATGATGTTAAAGAACTTGGTGCACACACGTAAGATATATCTATTATTATGATTTATGATGATGATGATGATGATGATGATGTCATATTTAATATTTCAAATATTTTCTTCTGCCTTTATTCTAGGGTAACATACAAAAACAAAACACTAACATACTTTTACCATTTTATCGATTTAGCCACTTAACTAGTTCCTGTTATACTTATTTTTCACTGTTATAAATGTTAAAATACATAAAATGGTGAACTTTTATATGTATTTTGGTAATTATTTTATATTCTAATCTAACTTTATATTTTTCTTTAGCTTGGTGTGTACAGCTCAATATAGTGATGGTGATGCTGAGCGCAAATATCTCCCTCAGTATTTCAAGTTCATAGTTTCAAATCCACTTTCTGTCAGAACTAAGGTATTTTTTTTTTTTTTTTTTTTTATAAAATTTTTATTACATCATTCAACTTATTTTTTTATTAATATGTTGTACTTTGAAAAAACTACTCAATTATAGCATTGAAAAATTGTTTTGTATTTGGGTTACATTGATATAAATGAGTAGCTTTTGAAAGTAGAATGTTGTTATAGGAAGAAATGAAAGTAGGATGCTATAAATATAAAACTAAATTACACGAATGGTCCCTATGGTTTGGGGTAATTTGCATGTTTGGTCCCTAACTTATTTTTTTAACTCGGGAGGTCCCTACTATTTGTTTCTATTGCACGCTTGGTCCATGTCTTACCTAAAAAGACTATTTTGTCATTGATTTTTAATTTATTTAAATACACACCTCCAAGTCTCCAACCTCACTTCCACCTCACCTTACCTTACCTTACCTACCCCACTTAATTTAAATAAGTTAAAAAATCAAAGGCAAAATAGTCTTTTTAGGTAAGATATGGACCAAACGCGCAACAAAAACAAATTGTAGGGACCTTCCGAGTTAAAAAAATAAGTTAGGGACCAAACATGCAAATTACCCCAAAACCATAGGGACCATTCGTGTAATTTACTCTAAATATAATAAACAAATCAATGAAAGTACATTGCAATTTCTTTCATTTAACACTTTTTGTTATATTAATTTGTTATGTATTTTCTTATGTAGGTCCGTGTTGTGAAGGTAGGTTGGCATTGGTTAAAAATACGTGTGTGTAAGTCCTTATTCTGTGTCTATTGGGTATTGCTTTTAGATAGAAGGGTAAAATGGTCATTTGTATGTTACTTGTTTGACATTTTCTTGTGATGATTCATCTCCTTTATTGTCTCAGGAAACGACATATTTGGAGGCATGTTTAGAAAATAATACAAAATCAAATCTTTATATGGATCAAGTGGAATTTGAGCCAACTTTACAATGGGGTGCAACATTATTAAAAGCTGATGATCATCATTCAGAAAAGGGTGTTTTAACAAGGTTTTTTCTTGTGACTAAATAAAATTAGGGTTTCAATGCAAGAAATAGCAACATATTTTTATTGATTTGTTTATTACTTTCATTTCTTCTTATTAAAACTTTACACATTGAAAAAACTATCCAATTTTAGCAATGTTATTATCCAAGTATGAATAGATTTTGTAATCTATAATGTCTTGAATAATAAAAAATTGGGAAATCTACAGAAAAGTCCCAAACTTTTGGGAAAAATTTCAATAAAGTCCTAAAAGTTTTTTTTTTGAACAGAAAAGTCCCGATTATTTAACATTTTGCCTAAATTAACGAAAAAAATCCTTTTTTATATTTGAACAGCAAATGATAGATTATATGATTTTTTCAAAATAATCGGACTTTTCTGTTCAAAAATTTTTTTTAGGACTTTTTTGAAACTTTTCCCAAAAGTTTTGGGACTTTTCTATAGATTTCCCTAAAAAATTCAAAGTACAATGTTAAATTTTTGTAGATTTTTTAAAGTACAATGCCTAAGTAAGAAAAAAAAATTGAAAATAAAATGCTGTTATAGAAAGAAGAGTTAATCTAAAAAAAACCTTATATTTTGTGTTTATTTTTATTTTTTTTTATCAAAGCTCAATTTTTTTTTGCGTGAAAAAGACCTAGTGTATTTTTTTATTTTTTCCGATATGACCCTTTTTATTCATTTTTTTTTCCAAAAAAAATTGTAAAAGGTGAGGGTTTTTTCGAGAAAAACTAAAAAAGTTGAGGGTTTATTTGGAAGTATTTAGAAGATCGAGGGTTTTTGGAAAAAAAAATACAAAGTCGAGGCCTTTTTTCGAAAAAAATACAAGGTTTTTTTTTCATGCAAAAAAAAAAAAAAAAATCAGGTTTAATCTAGAAAAAACACAAAATATAAGATCTTTTTTGAGATTAATTTAGCCTGAAAATTATCGGCGAGTTTAACTGGGACTGATGAATGATACAAAAATTGCAACTTTTTTTTTTGTCTGTGCAAAAAGACGTGAATACCCTCTTCCACCTTATCATCCGAAACATTAAATGTCAATATAACCAATTATTTAGCTGCTTCATAACTTCTCAACTTAGTTTTTTTTTTTTTTTTTTTTTGATATTGATTTTAAAATGTAACAGAGAGATATTCAAGGAACCTGTTCTAATTAAATCTGGTGGAGGAATTCACAATTATCTTTATCAATTAAAATCATTAGATGAATCTACACCAACAAAGATTGAGGGTAGTAACGTCCTTGGTAAACTTCAAATAACATGGCGTACAAATTTAGGTGAACCTGGGCGCTTACAAACACAACAAATTCTTGGAAATGTAAGTTGACTTTCTTGACTTTTTTCAACACATGACATTATTTTATCTGTAAGTTTAAGCATTTGATTATTATTATTATTATTATTATTTTAATCATTGTGTAGCCCATTGCACACAAAGAGATTGAATTGAAAGCAGTAAAGGTGCCACCTGTCATCATTTTGGAAAAACCCTTCACAGTAAGTACAAATTTTTTTACTTGTAATATAATATGTTTTATTATTTCCTCGTGTTTAGTGGTTTGAAGAAAATTAAACTTGAGAACACATCGTATAAGTAGTTATTTTAGTTATTTATACTATTTTTGAACATTAGTTTAAAATTTTTATTTTTTATTTTTTGTGGTTTTGTGTAGGTGTGGTTGAGTGTAACAAATCTTAGTGAGAAGAATGTTGGGCCATTTGAAGTTGTGTTATCTCTCACTGATAATCATGCTGTTATGGTTAATGGAGTTAAAAGAATGGTAAATCTTTTCTTTAATTAATGCCTTTCCTTTCCATGATATATGTATATATATATATATGTACAATTATGGTCCTTATCAAGTAAAAGACGTAAATGACCTCACCTCCTATATTTTATTTTTGTTTTAGATTATTCAGAAATATGCTAATTTTGAATTCAATATTTATTTGTCAGGCTTTACCTCAGGTGGAGGCATACAAATCTTTGGATTTTCAACTGGTATGTTATGTGCATTTACGTTTATTTATTTATTTATTATTATATAGGGTTAACATCTTAAAAGACCCTATATTTTGGGCTTTTTCCAGATTAAACCCTAACTTTATTTTTTTCCCTAAAAAAGACCTTGCTTTTTTCCATTTTTTTTGATTTGGCTCTTTTAGCAGGTTATCGGTAATCTTCCGGTTTTAGACATTTTTTTACCTTCAGATTTTTACTTTTTTCTGAAAAAGCCCTCACATTTGACAATTTTTTGGGTTTTGATGTCATGCAAAACACAAACATACTTTTATCATTTTTATTGAGTTAGTCACTAAACTATAATATTTATTATCGATTTAGTTGTTGAAATTTTTTTTTTGTTTTAATCGAATTTGATTATAATAATCATTAAAAAAATAATAGCTCACTGTTTAAATCAATAAAAATGTGGAAATACGTTATGCTTTTCTGTATTTTGGCCACTTTCAAAACCCAAACCAGATAACCAGGGAAAATGGCTAAATTCATAAAATGGTGAAATTTTATATTTTTTCTATAAGTTTTTATCAACGTTTGTCACGATTTATGGTTGTTACCTTTTTTTTTTCTTTTTCTTTTTTTTTTCAACAGACTTTTGTAACGACTTTTGCATTATTTTTTTGCAGAATCTGATTGCTATGGAACATGGAATGCAGAAAATCAGTGGCATTACACTCTTTAATACCAATCACAACAAAACATATGATCCTTTACCAGATATCGAGGTCAGATTTTCAATAAATTAATACAAAATAAAAAAAAACGACTTAATATATTAAAGAGGGAAAATTTGTAAATAGTTATGACTTATGACTGATGTCTCTATGAAGTTCCATGTAACTTTTTTTTTTGGTAACAATTATTCTGATGGATTCTTTGTGAACATATTGCAGATCTTCGTTGATGCATATTGATAAGTTTTGTTGTAAACTATAACGAGTTCATGATAATGATATTGCACAAGTTAGGTAGGAATTAGATCATGATATATGTGTCTAATGGATTGTGGATCATATCAAATTCGGACTTTTGTAATTTGTACCATGTATGATAGTTGATAAATATATGTTTTGTTTGCTAGTTATTGTAAAATATTGTTATAAATGAACATTGGTCCAAAAAAATTCTAATTTCAAATTTTTTTGAGCATTTCACAGGTTAACCAACTAAAGCCAAATATTGTTTAGTGAAATGTCATAGAAAAACTTAGGGTGCGTTTGGTTGAGGAAAATTTTTCAGTTTTCTAGGAAATTTTTTCAAAAAAAACGGAAATTTTGAAAACGCGTTTGGTTCGTTCAATTTTCCAAAGTTTTCTAAGAAAATGAAAATTTTCAATTTTCCAAATTGTATGTAAGATTTTTACAGTTTTCTAAAGTTTTCCAAATTTCTAAGATGAAAAATGAAAACTTTACCTTTTCCAACCAAACGCATTTTCATTGAAAACTAAAAATGAAAACTCAACTCTATTTTCTGAAAACATTTTCTTAGAAAATGAAAACAGTTTTCTACATCTAAACGCATTGGTTGTGGAAAATTTTCCAGTTTTTAGGAAAATTTTCCAAGAAAAACGGAAATTTTGAAAACGCGTTTGGTTCGTTCAGTTTTCCAAAATTTTCCAAGAAAATGAAAATTTTCTGTTTTCCAAATTGTATGTAAATTAGAAAAGTGGTTTTTATAGTATTTCAAATTTCTAAGATGGAAAATGAAAACCCCCGGTTTCAACCAAACGTTTTTTCTAAAATTTTCATTGAAAACTGAAAGATAAAAACTCAACTCTATTTTCTGAAAACATTTTCTTAGAAAATGAAAACAGTTTCCCGCAACCAAACGCACCCTTACATATGAGTTTTGGACGATTTATGTGTATTTTTGAATTGGGATTCTATTTTTGTGGTACTTTCAAATTTAATTTAAGTTTGGAACTCATTTAGTTAGATGTAATCTTTATTTAACTTATTTACATTTTTAATTTTTAAACGATTCTATTCATCAGCAACCAATTTATCTAATGGTTGGACTGAGTTGGGTTGGATTGAAAATCTCAACCCAATTCAAGGAAAAAGGTTGGGCTGAATTAATAACCAAAACCAAAGACCATTTACCCAAATTTGAGCTTTAAAAGAAAATGGTTTTGAGGGCAAACATCGATTACATTCATGGAAAGCTCACTTGTCATGAGCCTTTTAACATACCTACAAAACAAAAAGTAACACGTTTAAGCCCATACATATCTCGGCAGATTTTAGAGAGAAAAAAAAATCCAAAAGGAATTGTCAACTGGAGAACCAATTTACATTCATTATCGATATAGATTCATTATTATGTCCTCTCTTTAAATCTTGGAAGAATGAAGATGTTTTTGTTTAAAAAAACATCAAAATCTATAACTTCTTATGAAACTTAAGTAAAACAAATGACAAAAGACAATAACTAGCCACTTTCTAGATCTAAACGTCACCTATTTTTCTCAATTTTACACACTCAAAGCACAATCTTGCATATGCTCTGATTTTTATGTCTCATTCTGTGCAGATCCATAAAAAAAAATAAGTACCAACACTAACATAAAAATAAAAAACATGCTTGGTTTCATTAAATATGTTTTCAATTAATTCTCACAAATGAAAGAGATACAATCTATATACAGGAGGGAAAGTCATTACAGAGCACAAACAAACTTAACTAACTTCTAACAAATTCTCTCTAACTACCAAATTAATTAAATTACAATGTTATCCCTGTTTATTTAAAAAATGACGAAACTGCCCTTGTGATCATTTAGAAGCATTATGATGACAAGTACACACCCGATTTCATCAGGCTCGAATCATTTAACACCTGAAACGTAAAAAAATTGATCATAACCTTGATCAACTGTACCTTATACTTTAAAACTTGTACATTTGCTAACATGCGCCAGTGAATACTGAATAGTGGTATTTCATAATGGTCATTAAATTGGTGGTTATTTAAGAAATATGTGAACCATTGGGTAAAGTAAAGTAACAAAAACAGAGAAAACAAACAAATATATCATTAAGAGACATAAAACAAGTAAAGTAGACATTCTTTTTTTCAAATAAGAAACAAATCTATGATGAAAGTTCTATACAACAAAAATCAAAAAGTCAAAAGGAAATTATCATGATCCTTATCCCCAAGTAGCCCAATTAGCTTCACTTCCAACCCTAGGCATTGCTTGTGTGGTCTTTGAATACACATCAACTTTAAATGTAGCACCACACATCACTCCTTCACTATCAACCCTTGATATTGCCTTCATTTTGTTCTTTGGATGCTCAAAGCTCATTAATCCCCCTTTTGTATGATACATGCACCCTATACAACAAACAAAAATCCACAAATATCAATATACATACCATATCAAATCATAATGAAAAGACAAAAATTACCCTTTCTTCAAGTAAATCGAAAGTTTTGGAACCCTTACCGGTTGGGAAGGGAGCAAATGACTTGGAGCAGCTAGACTTTATGACCATCAAGTTGTCAGAAATTACAACCGAGCCATCAGCCGCTATGCCCCAGAAAAGCTTCACTCCTCCATCAGCACCCTATACATCATATCATCACCACAAATTTTACCATATCAACTTAAAAGGTCGAGAATGTCCACCAGATTCTTGTAATATTACTAAATGACACATTGGTGATTTGGTGTAGTCGTAGCATTGTATGAGAGAAAACTTACAAGTGAGATAAAGACAGTTTTAGCCTTGAGATCATAGAGTATAAATCCGAAACTACCCTCAAGGTCCTTGAGGACTGAGTGGGCCGGGTATGGGCCACGATCACGAAGGGTCTTGTAAGCTTGGATCACAAACATGGGCTCATTGGCCAGCTTTGTTAGCCCATATTGCTTGTTAAGGGTGCATAAGTTGTCTAGACCTCCCAAGAATATGCAATAAATGTCATCCATGCTACTAAACAACCTGCAAATACATTTCACCAAAGTTACAAACCAAAACTTAAAGGAAAAAAAAAATATTTTAGGGTATAATGTAATAAATAACGAGTTAATGTTTCAGTTTTTGACCAATTACATAAATATATATTATCCAAAGATTAAAAAAAATATTACCTTTGTTGAGAGGAAGAGTCAAAGGCGAAAGAAGCATCATTTCCAAAAGAAAATGAGAAAGCATTGGGACTAGAATTCAAGAATTGGTTCAAAGGATGATGATTTTGATGATGATCGTGTGATGGGCTATTGAGTTCTTTTGGTGCATTTACCAAATGTTTCTTGAAAATAGCCAACATTTTAAAGAAGAAGACACAAAAACGATGAAGATTTTCTTACGAAATGAAGGGATTGTATTGTCAATTGTAGATCTTTAAGTGTTCGTGTGTGTGATGGGTATTTATAGTCAATAGCATTTGGTGGGGAAAGGGACGTGGCAATATTATCCAAAACAAAAGAATGGATAAGTGAGATAAACATATGCTCATGTTGGAAGGATTCCATCAAACTATTTATTTTTCTCCAAGGGTAAATAAGAAATTTTTCTATTAATAATTTTTAACGATTTGTTAAATTTATATTTTATATAAAAATTTTCTATTTATATAACAACTTTTAGTTTTTTTAGCAATTTTATATAACGTATTTTTATTATTTTAAGCGAGATCTATATCTATGTAAAATAATAAATTGTTGTATTGAGTGGTTACAATTAATTGATAAAAATATATCATGTTTTTCTTAAGAGCACGTCGATTTGATATATTAAAATAATATATATTTATAAGAATTGCTACGACTGATTATATAACAGTAACAATAATAATATCAAATCTCATAAAAATAAGGTAAAACAGCCGTGAATCCATATTCAAACTTGTTACAATACGACAAATAAATTATGACAAAGTTTATTATGGAATCAAATTATTAATAATACTTATATTTTTAATAATAATGATCAAATTAATTTGAAAGTGCAGTTTCTCATTTCTCTTTAAATTATAATCATACATATTCTAATTGTCATTCTCAAGAAAATAGAAATACTAATAATATACGGATATTAACTAGACTGACATTTATAAAACCAAATTCCTTAATTACTGTTTACTTAATAACCAAATTTTTGCAAATAGCCAAAAATAACCAAGGAAATCCTAGGTTTTTAAAATTACATACTCTTTCATAGATGGTCTACGGTTTGAGGGTTTACTATAAAAAAAAATTTCAAGCACATATGAAATCATAAGTGAAAAAATCACATACGGTATGCTCTCTATTAACTACGGTTTCCCAAACCGTAGGTGATAAAAACTACTCTTTCCTTCGAATAATTATTGTTTCCTTCTAAAACTACTATTTCCTATGAATAACTATTGTTTTGTTTTTAGCTTTCAATTATTTTTTTGATTAAACTACAGAATCAACCCAACATACCTACCTTTACGTACAACTATATCACAAAAAAAAACTCCAGAAAAAAAAGTTAACGGAAACCGTATGTTTCGTAAGTCACCTACGGTGTACAACCTGATAATGCACAATTTGTGAGTTAATAGGTTTTACACCGTAGGCGACTTACGAAACCAACGGTTTCCATTATTTATTTTTCTTTTTTTCCAAAAAAAAAAGTCAAATCTAATAGATGTCATATTAAACAACATTAAGCAAATATATATATATATATATATATATATATATATATAATAATAATAATAATAATACGAGAAAATACATGGTTGTTCGAAGCCTCCATTGAGAAAATTTTCTCTAGCTTCAAATAATAGAAAATGAACCAAATGAAAAATTTTAACTTTATATATTATGGGTTAATGGACCATCAAACAGTAGACGAACTCTGAAACAGTAGTCCAATCCTCCCAAACCGTAGTTCATTTAACCTCCTTACGACCAAACCGTAGGTTTCTTGATGAAATCATAGTTCTCCTTAATTATCTACTCTTTCATTGACTATTTAGCAGTGTTGCAGAAATCGGCCTAATTGGCGATTAATCGCCAATCGGACATCCACCAATGAGATTTATTGCTAATCGGTCAATATAATCGGGTTTGGTCAATATAGGTCAAAGTCGGAATTAATCGAACCTAATCGGGCCTAATCGGTCCTAATCGGA